AGCCTTTGTTACGGTGTTACGGATACGATATACGATTTACGAAACAACGCGGCGCGGAAAAAGAAAATATTAATTAAGCGATCGATTTAAAATAAAAGAGAAAAGATAGATAATTGAAAAGTATGAAAAGAATTTAACGTATTCGTTTGAGTCCTTGACACGAAGAACGCGAATCAAAAGCACTCTCGACACTCTGCCTTGTTACACGAAGGAACTTTGCCGAGCAATCTAATTACGCGATTTCGTAGACAACTATGTCTCCACGCGAACACGGGCTCCCCGTCACGTAGCTTACAATTTTTCGACGAAGAGTGATTTGCCTCAGTCAAGCGATCGTGTCTCAGGGTTTGACCCGCGATCGGTACCCCAAAGTGGGGACATCATTTGGTAAATCAGGGTACGTGTCGAAGGGGAAAGCCCGCACGCATTGGTTTTGTCTAGGCGCGTTTCCCGAGTTCTCATCCCTCTTTGACCTTTCTTGCCGACTCTGTCTAATGTCGGCTATCCTTTTCTACCCCTTCAACGCTACATGAATTTCGTGCGTCGCAGTTTCTATGCTTTCTAGAATGTTCGAAATGGATTGTATTTAATTCTATCCGTTTTTCAATAAATAACGAGGCTCTTATAGACGATATTCTGGTATCGATTAAACATTTCATTAACGCTATTCCTTGCTTGTTAGTTTGTTCAACGCATTCCGTGATCGATGTTTAATTTACTATACGCGTTTTACGGCTTACGTGATGAGGGATACCATAATCGATGTTTTACTTTTGATTAATTATGGGAGCATTTCGTTCGCGTTTTAACGCAAATTCACGTATATTAAATATATATTAACATTCTATGAATTTATTCTAGAATATTTCCTGTAGACGCTTGGCAGATTTTATTGCCTATTCGCAACAACATGTGTTTATTATCCGCGTCGACCGTTGTCGCGAACGTTTTTGAACGTTGGTCGACGTTTTCAAACTCCCAGTGGTTGTCACGCAAACCTCGCTTTCCATCCTCATTCAGATCGTTTCATATCATTCAGAACAAATCACTTTTATACTTTATTGCACTCATTCTCCCGTGGAAGGACCGGCTGACGCATGTTTTACGGGTATGAGAGGTATTTCGCCCATGAAGTAAAACAAAAATCGCATTTTCTTTGTTCTGTGCAGTTAAGCTGGGATACTTCCAAGTGCGTCGCACTGCTTAACCGCGCGGCGAAGGATGTTTATGATACCTCTCCTTAACCTAAACGGTTTCGAATTTCTATACATTTCCAATACATAGTTTCAACGGCAATCGTCCCAAGGAAGGTTAACTTGTATTATTTGAAAGAACTAAATATAGCCTCCTTTGTGTTCCTCGCCTGGGATTAACTCCAAGTGCGACGCACCGGCGAGGCACACAAATTCGGTATATTAGACGGTAAACTGTTGAAAATAAAAAAAAAGGAAAAGAAAAGGTTATTTTAAATCTCAAACTCCTTTCTCGTGTTCCCGTGAGGAATACCTTCAAGTGCACACGCACTCGACGAAGAAGCACGAGACCGAAGGAGCGCGAATGAAAACGGAAAATTAAGGAAAATGAGGCCCTTCCTTGCGCTCTGCATGTGGAATACCTTCAAGTGTTGCGCACCGATGAGGAGCGCAAGGCCGGGTTAATGAAAAATTAGCCCGGACGTAACATATCTCGAAAACGTCAGAAAGTGGATTTTAATTATAAAGTTTGTAAATACTGCTAGGTACTGTAACGACCCAATGATAGGTACGTCACTGCACCGACGTATAGGGAGAGCGGTTCCCCAAGAAGGCGACTCGTATGAACGAAAATTGGGATTATAGGTTCGTGTGGTGTGCGGTTAAGGAGTGACATCCAACATTAATGTATCAAACTAAAATTATTTTTTATTCAAGTAAGTACACTAACTATGATTGTTCTGAGTATAACAATAGGTGTGGCTAGAATATGAAATACAATAAGAAATTATAATAGGTACGCTCTAGATAGTGAAATACAGTAGAAATGTATGATTAGTAGTTAGTAAGTAATAATAACGCGACTTAATCTTCGAATACAGCCAACACTACAATTTGCCAAATTACACTAAGTACTGGAAACTATATTCCAGTGGCTTGTACGATACCTTCAGTCACGAGCGGACTTTACCTACAGGTCGCAATCGGTTTCTGGTCTAGCCAGAGCTATGCTAATACAGGCCTGCTCAAGGAGCTCCGCTCCTCGCTAGCTCTTTACACTTGAGTATGTGTCTCAGTATTAGCACGTGTTCAACACGTTGCGTACCATGAGTAGGGTGTCCACAGATCCGAACTCTCGTACGTCACCACTGAAAGAGAAGGACAGAGCTAATCTCGCGCTCTATAGTTGCCTAAGCAATTCAGCGCAAACTTTCCTTTACTTCCAGAGTGCTGTCTGCATCTGACCGAAGTCAGGGAAGATCTAATCTGACTCTGCGTGGAACGCCTCTATTTAAAGTCAGATTCTGCTGACTTAGCGCTTTTTTTCATTATAGGGTTCCTCTAGATTTCTGGAATTCTCCATCACGTGACGACCGAGCACCCCTGCTCCTTAATCTACGCGATCACCCTACTCTAGAATTTCACCCCACCGCGAGATCATCGGGGTTGCGCTGACGCGTATGCATTTGTTTGTCGATCATTTATCGATAATCGACTTACCGACCGACTTACCGACTAAACGCTTATCGACTTATTCAATTAGACTATATTATCGATTAATGAAAATTATTTATTATAAGAAATATAATATAATACAAATTAAACTAAATACTAAATATTAATAACGAAAATTAAATTAAATATCTTATACAAAACTCAAACTGAAAATTGATTACAATAACGAAAAAAAAAGGTGCTGGGTGTTGCTAGCGGGACGTTACAGCTTCCCCCATGCGTTTGTCTCTTGTCCTCAAGAGACTGTGATTGCATCTTCTGAGGACGCAAAGGGCGCAGCGGCATTTTTCTTCGCTGTTCCTTGGGATGCTGCTAGGATTCCAAAGTAGCTAATAACTTTTCCTTGTTTCCTTCTAGGGTCCTCTTTTTGTAAACGTCTATACGCTTGCCAGTCGAATTCTGGTATGTCGATCACGACTAACCTCCATCGTGGTGGTGGTGATGGTGGTTGCGGTGGTTTTATTTCTTCTTTTATATTATCTCGTGTTGGCATCTTTGAAATTTTATACGAAACAAATAATTAGTAAATGAAATAAATTATTAAAAGTATAATTCTACCTCTGTGAATTGTTTTAATGCTCTTCTCAATCTTTTAAATCTTTCTCGGCGTCCTGCCTTTCGTACCATTTTAGCACCTTGTAAATTGAATATAGCGGTGCGTGCGTAGCGTTTCTTTCTATAGCTTTCTTTGTCGCTCTTTGTTTCTATCTCTTTCTATCTTTTTTTATGTTAACATGGCGGACTTGCGATTTTGCGCATTAATAGATCGAAGGAAATGAAAATAATTCGTAGGATTCGAAATAAATGAATTCGTTTGTTTGAAAAAAAAAATAAGAATGATTACATATTTTTTTAAATTATTAACATTACAACAAATTTGAATTAATGAGATTTATTCAAAAATTTTATTTAGACAGAATACCTCCGGGTCATGTGCCGGAATTAGGTAGCCTTCGTTGAACGTTTCTAACAATTCTTCATCTATAGTGCTGGTTGCGTTTTTACATTCGTTACAAGCGATAGCTGGTTGCAGGGTAGCGATTTCTTGCCTGCATGTAATACACGCGGATTGCTTTATCCCTTCTTCCTTTAACACGAAATGATGGACTCCAACGTGGAACCATTGTTTTGCGGCTTGTGGATTCGTTTTTATTGCGCATTTGGAACATAGTCGACCCATTTTTGGGTTGAAAATATACTCAAAAGTTATTGAGCAGTCTTTCACGCACAATATATTAGTGATATCTGGAGCTTGTGATTCCATTTTTCTGTAAACGAGAGCTATTTTGTTACTACAAGATATTAAAATTGTAAATTTCATTGTCTATGCTTACTCTTTTTCTATTAATCTTTCCTTTTTCTTCTTTTTTTTCTTTTATTTTGTTTGGTGGCGTCTCTTTTCTGTACTTGACTTTTAGGCGTTCGTTGCGCAATATGGCGGTAGGTTTGAAATTCTGTATCTACGCATGCGTATGTTCCGAAAATTATATAGATTGTCGTATCGACTTTTATTTTTGATCCGCGCTGTAGACTGGTCGATAGGCCCTCTTTAGTCGATCTTTGTGTATTATCCTAGTCTTTTTGGGACCTATCTGCAATTCTATGTTATTTTTCTCTATGTTTCTTAAAACTTTGTATGGCCCAGTGTATTCTTTTTGTAATTTACTTCTTCTTGGTGGATTTAATAGCATTACTTCTTCTCCTGTTTCATAATTAATTGGATGTATTTTTCTATCGTAATAGTATTTTTGTCTATATTTTGATTGTTCTAGATTTATTTTTGCGGCTTGTCTAATTTCATGTAAATTTTGTAATAGTTTATCTACGTAGTCAGGATATGTGTCTAATCTGTCAGATGGTGTAAATTTTGATGGCAATCTTGCCTTTTTTCCATATACTAGTTCATGGGGTGTGAATTTTGTTCCCTCATGAACACTTGTGTTGTACGAGAACATTGCTTGCTGTAGCCATTCGTCCCAATGTTCTTGTTTAGATATGTAGTGTTCCAAATATTCAACCAGAACGTGATGGCTTCTTTCTAGGGACCCGTTTGACTGAGGATGGAAGGATGATGTACGGTACGTCTTGATATGGAAGATTTTTGCTAGTTTCTCGATTAGCGAGGATGTGAAGCATGTTCCCTGGTCAGTGAGGATAGCTTTAGGATTTCCAAATTGGCATATGAAGGAGTTAGTGAATGCTCTTGCGACGTCCTCTGATGTGGCTGACACAAGTGGAACTGCGACGGAGTATTTGGTTAAGTTATCCTGTATAGTGAGGATGTAACTGTATCCTTTTTACGTCATTGGTAAGGGTCCAAGAATGTCTAGGGACACCTTATTGAATGCGTCTGAAGGAGTGTCTGTGATAACCATTGGCTCCTTATTTTTCATTCTAACTAGCTTGGTTCGTTGGCAGCTTATACAGGATCTAACGTAATCAGTAATTTCTTCTTTCATGTTCTTCCAATAATACTTGTTCCTGATCCTAAGGTACGTTTTCCTGATACCTTTATGTCCTGCGACTGGGCTTTCATGATTTTCTTTAATTATATTTTTCCTTTCCTCTTTAGGTGGAATTTGGACCATTCCTTTGCAGATAGTGATATTGATATTAGAGTCTGCAAAGAGTATCTGGAGAATTGCTTTCAAAACCCTGTCTATTTGGCATGCTGCACTCCTGGATTCCTTTTTGGAGTAATATTTGATGAAGAGTTTTAACTTTCTGTGGTAATGTTTCTTTGGATTCTATTATTATTCCAAAAATTAATCTATTTCTGATCTTATATTGCATGATATTACTTTATGGTTTTGTTGGCGAAATTCCCCATGACTTCGCGAAAAGATGAAGTTGGCAACGAAAATACTTCGTTGGTGCGCCGTTACCGATAGCGGCAGCACCTCTCGGGCCCACTTTGTCCACGCGGTCCCCTCTCCAAGCGGAACCGGCACGATCGACGCCATGATCGATTCTTGTTCTTCTTGTACGATCGCTCGACCAAGCAACACGTGTTCCTCAGTCTACGCAATCAAGTACAAGCGTTACAGTTTTTCGGCCCACGGGACGCTGATTGTTTCAGCCCGCGCTTCATTATTACTCTTCGTTATCGTATTTAGTCCACGCGTATGTTGTATTAATGTTAAGTGTAAATGGTTGTACAGTTTTCCGATCACGTTAAACTTTGTAAATAATATTTTGTGTAAATACATTGTTATAGTGATCGTTACGCAGGCGTGTTATTTCTGACCACGTTGACCACGCAAAACGCGAACAGGTTTAGAAATTTTAATCTTTTCATTTTCCATAAATTGTCTTGATTGTGTATCATCTGGATGTCCCTCCTTGTTAAGGAAAATTACTGCTGTGCCTTTCTTCATCCATAGATGGTCTTCGGTTTCATCTATTCTGAATGTGATTGGTTTATTGCTAATTACTTTGGGTGTAATTTGTTTAATTTTTGGCGGCTGAGTCTTTTCTTTTTTAATTTTGATAGGTGTAATTGGAGCTGATAGAGTATCACTTGAAGTTTTTTTTTCTATTTTTCTTTTTAGTACTGGAGATCTTCCTCTTGTGCTTGAAGAAGAATCGATTTTAGGTGGTTCTCTGAAAATGTGTTTCGGTATAATTGCCTCTTCGTTGTATTCTTCTATTTCATCTCCAATTATTACTGGTTCCCTTTCTATAGGTCGTTTCTGTGGAATGATATATTTTCTCTCCTGTGGTGGTTGATGTACTTCTACAATGATTTGCTCTTCATTGGGTTTTCTTTTCTTTTTGATCTCTTCTGAGGAATATATTCTTGGATTTAAATTTGTTCTCTTTCTTGGTCTTGGCTGTTCTTCAGATGCATCAGTCTCATAATATTGAGATTCATCTGAGCTTGTATAATCCTCTTTTATTCTCTTTTTTGCTGCATTGTCTTCTTGGGAAGGACTTTTTTCTCGTGTTTTATTTTTTTGATATCTTTTTCTCGTTCCAGAATCCGAAGAATCGTCTCGCTGCAGTGCTAAATGTTTATGGCTTATTTTCCTTTTCTTTATATCCCGTGAACTTGATGAGATTGTTGGCCTTGGTCTTCTTGGATATTGATGCCATTCTTTCTTCTTTTTGTGTTCTTCAGACTCAGTCGTAGTTGGTCTGAGTCTAGTAGGATACTGGTGTGATTCCTTTTTCTTTTTGAATTCTCTTGATTCTGACGTGGTTGTTGTTGGTCTTGGGCGAGTGGGATATTGGTGCCACTCTTTTCTCTTTTCGCGCTTCTTCTTTGACCCAGACGTGGACGAATGCAGCCTCTTAGCATGTATTTGCAGGGCGTTTATATCTTCGATTGGATTTCTCGAAAGAGCATCAGCGTTTATATTTTGTTTGCCTGGTTTGTACTTTATTTCATAATCGTACTCGCTCAATCTCAATTTCCATCGCATGAGTCTCGATGTAGGATCTGTGAGACTATTTAGCCAGATCAATGGTATGTGGTCTGTAATTAGATAAAACTTCCTGCCAAATATATATGGTCTGAAGTGATTTACTGCAAATATTACAGTAAGTAATTCCCTCTCTGTTGCGGAATATTGCGTTTCCGGCTTATTCATTACTCTTGAGGCGTAAGCTAGTGGCTGATCCTTTCCTATCTCTCCTTGATTTAGGACTGCTCCTACCGCTGTTCCGGATGCATTGGTAGTTATATTAAATGGTCTCTCAAAGTCCGGATATTGCAGGATTGGCTCTTCGCATAGTATGCTCCTCAAGAATTCGAAGGCTTGCTGTTGCTGGCTGGACCACTCGAATTTTTGTTCTTTCTTCGTCAGGTCGGATAATGGCTTGGCTATCTTAGAGAAGTCCTTGATAAATCGTCTATAGTATCCACACAATCCTAGAAATTGTCTAATATTTTTGACAGTCTTAGGAATGGGGAATCTCTGGACCGCTTCAACCTTTGCTGGGTCAGGTCTCACACCGTCTTCTGTAATTATGTGACCCAGGTACGCCACTTCCTTTTTTAGAAATTGGCACTTATCAGGTTGCAAGCATAGATTTGCCTCTCTGAGCTTTGCCATCATCCTATTGACTTTGGTTTCGTGTTCTTGTGACGAACTTGCATAAATTACAATGTCGTCGATGAACACGAATAGTTCCAGTCCTTGCAGTCCGTCTAGGACGTTGTTCATCATGCGCTGGAACGTAGCTGCAGCATTTTTCAACCCAAAAGGCATTCTGTTGAATTCAAAGTGCCCAAATGGTGTTGAAAATGCCGTCTTATGCTTGTCTTCTGGATGCATTGGTGTTTGATGAAAACTGGACTTCAAATCAAACACGGAGAAGTATTTTGCGCTTCCCACTTGATCCAGGATGTCTGTAATATTGGGTAGTGGATAGGCATCGCTGACCGTTTTTTCGTTTAGCTTTCGGAAATCAATCACCAATCTCCGCAGTTTGTTTCCTTGTAAATCCTGTTTCTTAGGTACTATCCACAAGAGGGAGTTAAATGGTGACGATGAATGTTTGATTATTCCTTTCTCAAGGAGATCATTTACTTGATGATTGATTTCGTCTTTTAACGCATGAGGATACCTGTATTGTTTAACGTTTACAGGCATCTCATCCGTTGTGATGATTCTATGGTAGATTTTATTCGTTGCTGGTAGTTTGTCTCCGTCTACGTAAAATCTATCAGCGTGCTCCTTTACTATATCCTCTACATTGGCAAATTCTTCTTGATTTAGATGGTCTGTTTGTAGTATCCTTAGAATCTGTTGGGCTCGCTCAGGTTCTTGGTGGGCTGCATCTTCATCTTGTGGTGCCTCTTCATATTGTTGCAGTTCAACAGCTGGCATTTCAATTTCTATATCTTCTGCTCCAACGTTGATTGCGTATAGAAATGCTATGCCATCCCGGTTCGTGGCTACAGCATTCCCCATATATAGTTGTGGGTGAAGCTGCAGTTTTGGGACAAAACCAGTCTTTATTTCTGTGTTTGATACCTTTATGGGTATCATGGTCTTTGTCCTAGATGGTATTACCACTGCTGGTTGTTTGAATGGTATTATATTGTTGTTCACGATCAATATAGATTTAGCGTAATTGATGCTAGCTCCACTGCTTTTAAAATATTCCGTGCCCAAAATTCCGTCTTGTTCAATTGGCAATTCTTCAATGATGTGGAAGATGGATTCTGTCTCCAGTATATTTATTTTGATGTATCCTGCTGTGTAAATAGAGCTCTTAGTTATTCCGTTCAATTGAAAAATTATATCTGTGTTTATTGCTATTTTGCTTGAGATTGCATGTTTTTTAATAATATTGATATTTGATCCTGTGTCGACCATGAATAATGCCTTTTGGTTTTGGAAATTTTCGCTTAATAGCTCGACACTGGGAGACTTATTTATTTCTCCTAAGTTCAGGCACAAGCTTGCTTTCTTACGTAGCTGCTGTACTTGTGGAGGTTGCTGGAAGCTCTGGCTTTTGACACGCTCCTGATACGCTTTCTTTCGGCACTCTTGAATTGTATGGCCGATGTTTTGGCAAAATTCGCAAATTGGAGCTGTATTCTGTGTCCAACTTCGATTCTGCCTTGTTGTAGGTTGGTTTCTATGGACTTGATTTGGCTGCACAAAGTCCCGAGGGACTTCTGGTCTTCCTTGCTGGTCTTTAAACAAACAGGTCTCCAAGGTGTGCCCGGACCTTTGGCAGTGCTGGCAGTATTTTGCTGGCCAGTGGGCCCTCGACGTGGATTGTCTTTGGAACCTCTGACTGCAGCATACACTGGCGTTGTGCCCATATCCGTAACAATTGTTGCATTGTTCGGCTGTAATGAATCCTTGCGATAATTTAACCTTTGTTAGGTTCTCTATGCTCTCAGCTTCTGCTAGGATCGCTGCGCTTATTGCGTCGTCAAGATTGTCGAAATTTTGATTCCTCATCCGATTATACACCTCTTGTTTTAAACCGGTCAGGAATGCTCTGACGGTACTTGTTTCCGAGGATCGGTTGTATCTGTCAACCTGATCCGGGAACTCCATTTCGTTGCAACTCTTGATCTGTATCAAGAGTCCCGAAACGCGGCTGCCGTAGTCTACGACTGCCTCGGTCGGCGCTTGTACCATCCTTGCCATATCGCCACATAGCTGCATTGAAGTGAACAGCGGGGCGAAACGAGACTTTATTACGGAAATTAATTCTTCAATAGTGTCGTAGTCTCCGTTTTGTACCACTCTTGAAACTTGCCCGTAGAATTTGTTCTTGATCAGCTGCACCAACCCGTACTCAGCATTTGGGGAGATTATGTTCTTCGCCTTAAAACAGCTCTTTGCAAACTGATAAACAGGTATATTGCGGCCGTTGAATGCTGGTACGATGTCCGCTGTATCACGAATGCTGATCGGTCGGCTTCCTTCGGTTGATCCGCTGGCTGATGTGCCGGCTGGTATAACGGCTGTTTCGTTGGGCATCTTGATATAGTATATATATATATATGTACAACTCTTCTATCTATCCTGCTATTTTTATTATTTATCTGTCTTTATTTTATTCTAGGCTTGACCATTAATGTCCGCAGAGATACGATTTTCTCATTACCACTCGAACAATCCCACCGCTGTCACCAAATTTTTATCTCTACTCTACGTGTAACGACCCAATGATAGGTACGTCACCGCACCGACGTATAGGGAGAGCGGTTCCCCAAGAAGGCGACTCGTATGAACGAAAATTGGGATTATAGGTTCGTGTGGTGTGCGGTTAAGGAGTGAAATCCAACATTAATGTATCAAACTAAAATTATTTTTTATTCAAGTAAATAAACTAACTATGATTGTTCTGAGTATAACAATAGGTGTGGCTAGAATATGAAATACAATAAGAAATTATAATAGGTACGCTCTAGATAGTGAAATACAGTAGAAAATGTATGATTAGTAGTTAGTAAGTAATAATAACGCGACTTAATCTTCGAATACAGCCAACACTGTACAATTTGCCAAATTACACTAAGTACTGGAAACTATATTCCAGTGGCTTGTACGATACCTTCAGACACGAGCAGACTTTACCTACAGGTCGCAATCGGTTTCTGGTCTAGCCAGAGCTATGCTAATACAGGCCTACTCAAGGAGCTCCGCTCCTCGCTAGCTCTTTACACTTGAGTATGAAAGTTGAGTATTAGCACGTGTTCAACACGTTGCGTACCATGAGTAGGGTATCCACAGATCCGAACTCTCGTACGTCACTACTGAAAGAGAAGGACAAAGCTAATCTCGCGCTCTATAGTTGCCTAAGTAATTCAGCGCAAACTTTCCTCTACTTCCAGAGTGCTGTCTGCATCTGACCGAAGTCAGGGAAGATCTAATCTGACTCTTCGTGGAACGCCTCTATTTATAGTCAGATTCTGCTGACTTAGCGCTTTTTTTCATTATAGGGTTCCTCTAGATTTCTGGAATTCCCCATCACGTGACGGCCGAGCACCCCTGCTCCTTAATCTACGCGATCACCCAACTCTAGAATCTCATTCCACCGCGAGATCATCGGGGTTGCGCTGACGCGTATGCATTTGTTTGTCGATTATTTATCGATAATCGACTTACCGACCGACTTACCGACTAAACGCTTATCGACTTATTCAATTAGACGATATTATCGATTAATAAAAATCATTTATTATAAGAAATATAATATAATACAAATTAAACTAAATACTAAATATCAATAACGAAAATTAAATTAAACATCTTATACAAAACTCAAACTGAAAATTGATTACAATAACGAGCAAAAAAAAAGGTGCTGGGTGTTGCTAGTGGGACGTTACAGCACTTTACATAATGGCTACAATGGATAATAGTCGCTTAACTGTGTTAAGGAATTTTCTTATGTGAAGATAAGATTATGTGAAGGAAGAAAAAGCCGTATGTTGCAGTACCAAGATAAAGTATAGAGTACGTTTTCGAGATAAAAAAAAGCAAATTATTTTAATATTTTTTAGTATACTTGTGGAAATTCCCGATACCAGCTTAAGAATAATAATTGGGTATACGTGAAAGAAATTACCGTACCCACCATAAAAATAAAAATTTCGAACACGAGACGTCAAACGGATTAAGTAAATTAGGAAGAATCTAGAATAGCTATTATTTTATGATAGTCGGCGCTCAACTCGGCTTCACGTACCTACAATAATATCAGGGTCATTTATTGTTTCGATCCAACGCACTAAAATTTGTCCTTTACTTGAAGTAACTCTCTCACTCACTTAAGACTCTTTTATAATTACTACCTACCCAAATATTTTACCGGTCACCTGACTCCAATCCTTTCGACTTTTTTCTATGGGAGACCTGAAAAGTTTAGTGCACTCAACAACAACGAACGGCGAGGAATTGAAACAACGAATATTCAAAACGTTTCAGACGATTCTCATCGCATGAGACTCAATTGCGGAAAACGCATTCGTGTATGTATTGAACAAAGCGATGGACATATTGCACATTTAATGTAACATTGTTTTAGTGATTGTTATTTAATGTAAATTCAATGTGAAGATAAAAAAAAAAAATAGAAGAATAGCACGAGGTAAGTTTCTACTATTCAACGATTCTTGGTTATGACTGTACCGACCCCTGCTGACGTGACATTCGCTCGTCGGTGCTGAGCGGATTGCAGGTTTCTGGCGCTTTTTACTCGAATTTTTAAACGTTAATAACTGAAAAACAAAGCCGTAAACGTTATTTTGTTATTCTTGATTTACGTCTTATTTTGATCCCTAGGATCACCCCTTAAAATATTGCCCACCTGTTGTCGAACACCCTGTATATGTTTGAATATCTATATGTATATGTGTACTTAGATCACTGAATGCCTATCCTGCATCCTATATTATCCGTCAGTTAAGTCAAGGTGAAGCTTAGCGCTTTAATCGGCAGGACCCGTGTATCATAGCAATAGTAGAAAAACCCCCCATAAGGTGGGACGTAACAAGTTTACAAAGAACTGCCTCAACGCAAGGAGCGTGAATTCACAGAACGCTGAATATGGACTAATCCAACTAATTAATAAAATAATTTTTAGCAAAAAACAAATCCGACTTCGAAATGTACTAAAAAGTGTCAAATAATTTCTATTTCATTTATACCAATATTCCATAGCTATTAATAATATCTACTTAATCGTTAAATAGGATACCAAATACAGTTCAAACTTTTCGGAGGCGGCGCAAATTCAAAAACTTTTCCTCTACTAGGAAGATCCTAACTCGGGCGTCGGCAACCTATGATAAATGACCCATTTGATAATTACAAGTAAACAATATTCAACGGGAATCAACATACCCATTGCGAAATAACTATACTGCAGGTCACGAATGACCGCACTTAACTCGTGCAGCTCATTAGGTCTAGGGAGATTTTTAATAGCGTGCGTGATTCCCATTTACAGCTTGCTTCTTATTTTGCGTTCACATCATTTTTTTTTTTTTCGAAAAATAATAGGAGTTTCATTTTATCGTAAAACTTTACAATATTATCACCGGTTATCAGTTATCGTACGTCATATATTTCTGCCCACCATTTATATGATCGTAAAGTATAATAATGTTACGTGCGGAGTAGGCGTAGTGGTAGGTGACTACTCTGCGGTATGTTATGATCCGACGCAACGCTTAAAAACACCTCCTTTGTGAAGGAAAGATAATATAGGATTCGGATTCGGTCTAGACTTATACAAGCCTCTCGCTCGTTGGATACAAGCTTTGAAAATACGCACTAAATAATTATCAAAATTGAATAAATAACTATTATTGTTCGGGATTGGTGTTGATCCCGGAAGGACTGCGCCGGAAATAATTTTACTCTTGATGGGCGGGTTTTTACAAATTGATTTATTTGAGTCACAAATAAAATAATTGTTGAACACACTGATCGGACAATTTGTTGTTGAACACGCAATACAAATCAATAGATGAGCGGTTACCGTGATCCGTGGAATTTAACAAATTGGTTTGATCTGTGGTCATGGACAATAAGCCCCGTTAATTTTATAAATTCGGCCCGCTCTTTGATGATGCCCGTGAACATGTGCGAGATTAACACGTGGTCGGCATCGCACGTGTGTATTCAATTAGTGTATAAAGAACATTACCTGGTGATCCTGATCGCGTGCACAGATGCGGAGGATCGTGAACAATGAATCGGGGTTGATGAGCACTTGGTTGAGACACTCTTAAATGAACTGCACTGAACTTTTTGTGAGCACGTGGTGATCGCCTTGATACGTTGATCGATAATGGCGGCGAAGCCCGCTCGCCGGTGAGAAGACCCCTGCTCACGCGTTGACCTAGATGGGCGACTCCCGATCGATATATCGATCGACCGTGAGCGCCATCATGGCTGAGCGGATTCTCAAACAATTATATATTTTGCCAAAAGAAACGAATGGTTACAAAATTGGATTGTTACACTTCCTGGACGGAACACAAGTATGAAAATATTTAGACGAACAGAAATGGTTAACGAGTTTGATGGATCGCTCCCTTCTCTCTCTCTTCCTTTCGACGCACGGATGATGGAACAATCTTCTTGATAAATGAAACTATGGCTTTACACTAACAATAAGTTTAAATGTCTTTACACTAACAGTTCTAATTGCAAATGGTTTGAAACTTGAGTCTTTTTTAACGAGAAAACTGAGTCTTTTCGCGTGACACTTGGTTCTCACGAAACTCTGCTCGACGTATTTTGCAATACTAGTCGTTCCTCGGACAGAGAGACCACGCACCTCGCGACTGTATGGCCGACTGTGTCGCTATTGTCCGTAATCGGTTTTTTATTAGGATCGAAAATCCTAGGAAAAGAGTTCACTAGTATATTGACCTGTTGGAATGTCTATGCATTGGCACATATTTTCGACGCAGCGTTTCGAGAAGAAGAGAGAATTTGTTGACGCTGGTGACTCGAAGGAGGTCAGTCAATGAACCGATTTCCTGATTGCTAACGCTTTCGTAACTTGAAATTGGAGACAATGGAATTTTCTTTGTCGGGACGTAACAATAAAAAGCAAGTTGTAGAGGGGAATAACACAGGAGCGCTGCCAATTTCTGATATAATCGTTACAATTACAAATGTTTGCAGCCAGACCTATAACGTTCCGCTTTTCCTCTTACGACTTATTAAATATCAAGTTTGCCATACCGCAATCAAATCGTTATTGGCAGCATCGTTTGTTCGGCTATTTTTAATTTTGCGCCACCTCCGAAAACTTTGAATATTGGTATAAATGAAATAGAAATTATTTGACACTTTTTAGTGCATTTCGAAGTCGGATTTGTTTTTTGTTAAAAATTATTTCCGTATTAACTTCATTTCGCGTAATTATATATATTAATTCGTCCTCGTAATTCTTTAGTGTTTGTCTCTCGTCGACGTACTCGTCCGTTAATTCATTTCGCCGCGACAAGTGCAGTGATCGGAAATCTTATCGTTCTTTGGTGTTCCAGATCATCAAGCGAATACAGCGAATATCAACAAGCGAATTTAGAAATCTTGTATTTTATTAAATAGCGTAATGGTAAGTCGATCCTATTACCATTTTTCAAACACGACGTTCATTTTAACTGGCAAACCGGGCGATCTGGTCCAGCCCTTCAGGGTTACGAGAGTATCTCTGGTCAGATCGTTCCATCACACGAGGTATCGACTGATTTTATTATTTTTCGGGTATTACAATTTCGCTGTTCTAATTTCCTAT